AGAGATGGGCCGATCCGATATTACGTATCGGTATCGGTCCGATACTGACCTAAATTACTGGATCGGATATCGGAGGGAAATAAAAAATGTAATCTATCCATCAAATATCAACAAAGCACCTCACAAAACTTGCGACACGGCGTAACTCGGCTCATAACCGTAGCACGTCGGAGCAGTATGCGTCACGTGATAGAGCGGCTGTGGCCTGTGAGACCTGTCGGTGGTCTGGTTGAGCATTTGGAGCCTCGCTACCAAACCGGCATTTCATCTCCGAGAAAGTGATCCCAGAGAGAAGTAAAGCAAGTGTGTAAGTTCATCTCTGTTTGTAAAGCATTCCAGCGTTAAGCTTAACAACCGATATATGGAGCGACTGCCTCTCTCTCTCCTGCTGCTACTTCAATCAATGATCAGCTGATCGGCTTTTCCGTCGTGAGTCCGTCTCTCTTGTTTGTTTATCGCCCACTTTGCACCAGAAAGAGGAAACCAGCGGCTGAACAACAGCAGCACGTTTAAGCTTGATAAGCTGTTGTTAGAATGTATTTAATATTACTTTCTACACCAGGATCTTTTTCTACGCAGCTGACGTAACTGTGCAGGGGCGGATCTAGCAAAGTTTAGCCAGGGGGGCCGAGAGGGCATGAACAGGGAAAAGGGGCACAAAGACATACTTTTCTTTCTTATTCTCATTTAAAATGTCGAGCTTTTAATAAATATTTATCTGAATCTTACAACCAAAGTTTTAATCTGATGTAAAATGTATAGAAGTCCATTACTGTATATAGTCTAATTAGTCCATTAGTGTATTAAGTCTAATATACCCTAGTAAGCTATAGTACTTTTTCCTTTGGGAAGGTACCATCTGTGCAGTCTGCAGTTCTGCAGAAGAAAGATGTTGAATCTATTTAATTATTGTGGAAAAATAATAGATTTCTGTGCATTTTTTTTCACACTGCATCGAATTAAAGTTGATTACGTCGATTAAGCATCATGAGGTGGAGCGTGGGGGGTGGTTCCCTATTTATAGTGTTTTTTTTAATTGATTAAAAAACACACTATATCGGATTCGTATCGGCCGATATCCAAATTTATCGGTATATCGATATCGGTATCGGACATAAAAAAGTGGTATCGTGCCATCTCTAACCCATACACATAAAAAGTTCCTCAACTATGATAGAAATTCTCCACAATACAAAGCAAGGCTCTTCTACTCCAGTTTGCCCATTTAGCCATCATAAGAAATGATGAAGAGGCACGTCCATCCACAGAATGCAGTGGTTTTTAATATAACTGGAGGGTAGGTTACATGGATGTGTCATATGCCCTAGATTTTAAGTATCTCAAAGTCACATGTTCATAATATATCACAGTGATTCCTCTAATTGTATTTGGGTGTGTAGACCAAGCGTATGCTGGTGGAGAAGATGGGCCGCGAGGCGGTGGAGCTGGGTCATGGCGAGGCCAGCATCACTGGATTAGAGGAGAACACTCTGATCGCCAGTCTGTGTGACCTGCTAGAGAGAATCTGGAGCCACGGGCTGCAGGTCAAACAGGTCAGCACACACACTGAAATAAAGATATATACAGTGCTGCACAAATGTTAGGTTTCTTCAACACGCTATAGATGTTGAGGTTCCTCCCTCTGTGTGTGTGTATAATGTGATGCCTCATCCATCGGTGCAATAACTGCTGTTATGTGTGTCATTTCTGTCCTCGGCTCTCTCATGCTGATCGTGATGTTTCAGGGGAAGTCTGCTCTGTGGTCTCACCTGCTGCACTATCAGGCCCGGGAGGAGATGCTGGCGCAGCAGGCTGACTCACCAGGTAACATACACGAACACACACGCAGTCGAAAGCCTCAGTCACATGTTAAAGCATCAACAAAAAATCCATCTCTCCTTGTAGCGCCTCGCTTTCTTGAGAGGAGGAAGTCTGATAGTTCCATAGCGATGCCTTCTCTGCGTGTGTCTCTCATTCAGGATATGAGGTATGATCTTGTTGTCATAAATCCTTTGCACTGTCCAAGACTCTTCTACAACAGGTAGACTAGAGTAACACTGTTTAGGTGTTCCTGTTAGTATTAAACATCATATTATATACAGTATACTCGCTGCACGTACTGTAAACACGTAGTTTGTATGTCCGTGTTGGTGCATCTGTGAAAATGTATAAAATCTGTAACTGAAGTTAAAGTAAATAACTTTTCCTTCATCTTAAAACCACGGCGTTATTCTTCTTCTCCGTCTGTCCCAGGCATATCCAGAGTATGTCAGAGATCAAGACGGACGTTGGCCGAGCCAGAGCCTGGATTCGCCTGTCCCTGGAAAAGAAGCTGCTCTCTCAGCATCTCAAACAGTTGCTGTCGCGACAAGCCTTAACCAAGTAAGCATTTTGGTGAATCCCACCTTCATATTTACATGTTGTGCATTATTAAACATACATTTTGCAGTCGTTTTCACAGTTAGGGTTTGCATACAGTTAAAACACATGACACAAAGTTGTAGAAAACCCTCCGTTTTATATGATGTGGGAGAAAGTGGCTTTTTTGTGTGGCTTGATCATGCCACAGGGGGCAGCAGTGAGCACCCTGAGCCACACCAGTGCAGCACTGGGAGTATTTTTCTGCTGTATTCATTTACAGAAGGTAAAAGGTCCATCTGGCCGAATGACATTCCCACTTGACTTCCACACATCCATTTCTGAGTGAAGTATAACTGTAAGCTTCCCTGCACGCCTCCATTTTGCCCCTTCAAACAAAACAGAAGCGTTTCAGTTCATTGCTAGTTTCATGGTCGGGCTCTCTAATTGTTAGTCTAGAAAGATAACGTTTTATTTTGTTGTTTAGTTATTAAGGGTGCAAAAACTGTCAAACTAAAAAGACTTTTGACATGGATGTTGATGAGGAGAGATGTGATGTACTTCGCTGTATCTGAACCTGACTTGACTGACCGCCACAGGAAGCTGTACAAACGTTACGCCTTCCTGCGCTGTGAGGAGGAGAAGGAGCAGTTCCTCTTCCATTTGCTCTCTCTCAATGCTGTTGACTACTTCTGCTTCACCAGTGTCTTCACCACCATCAGTGAGTTTTCCATCAGCTACACATAACCTCTGACCTCTGGCCACCCACAGCAATGCTTTTCTTGAACAAAAGAAACGTTTTAAGACGAGAAGCTTTAGGTGATTGGAAACAGCAAATTATGCTGTTGAATATGTCACATATCAATGTGTATTTTTATGAACTGCATATACACACTCACACATATAAACGTATATGGAACTGAAATTGTGTGTCAGCAGCATTTCTATGAAAAGAGGTCATGTTGTTGTTTATAATGAGGTCGTGTTGTTTATAATGACATAACATCAAACTCCTGGAAAGCCCTTCAGCCCTCCTGCACCACCTACTGAAGCCTTACAGTAAAAATGTCAGTTACTTTATTCATAGAGCCACGGATCAATAGCTGACTGCAATTAGTATAAATTTACCACGTAAGGCTTTTTTTGTCTTTTTTTGCAGTGATCCCATACCGAGTCGTCATCATCCCCATCAAGAAGCTGAGCAACGCTATGACCACATCCAACCCCTGGGTGTGCGTCTCAGGGGAACTGGGAGACTCGGGCATCATGCAGATCCCCAAGAACGTATTAGAAATGACCTTTGATGTGAGTACTGTGACCTTTGACCTCCCACAAGTTGATCATGCTGTCAGCCACTCTGATGTTGTGTGCAGGCATTGAGTTTGTGTTTTCTATGTTTCACTCCTTGTCACTGTTTGTCAAACATCACATGGTGCACTGCAGCTTATTTAAAGCCACAGTAATCAAAAACCAGTGTTTCTTAAAGGTGCTGTAAAGAGAATAGTTCATCGCAGAAGTCTCGGGACAAGGCTCCAAAACATGAAGTGATATGTAAAATGCTTCTTGCCTTGGCTTCAGCATTTGTTGAATAGGCAATATTGGACTGGAGAGTTAGTTCCCATAACTTCTGGAGAATTTCTCCTGCTCTGTGTCCACGTTGCACGAGTTTTGCAGTTTTAAGAACTAAGGTTGGGCGAGTGGATGAATGCATCAACCATCGACGATAGGCCGAGCCTTTCGCCGATCATTTTTACAAGAGCCATTCATGTATTTGCCCATGAGCAAGTTTGCTAATAATTTTGGTTGAACCCAGTAGAAGGAGCCAATGGGAAAAAATAATAACACTGTTTTAACGGCACTGCCTTCCAGCTGCAGGCACATGCAGCCTCCTCAGAGTGCGCCCAAATTCAGCCATTCATTTCCTCAAACTCATAACAGAAAGAAAGAAAAGCAGCAGCCTATGTTAAAAAAAACAAAAACTTTATTACATTATTTACATTTTAAAAACCCACAATGGAGGGAGGGAAAGAAAGAAACTGGCTTCTTTTCCCCATTAACAGTGTTTATCCGTCTTACACACCCGACCAAACAACAAATACAAAATGAAACACAAAGTAAGTTAAAAATAAAAATGTCTCCTCCAGCTAACATAAAAATAAATCTTTGATGTAACGTTAAGTCTTTTGTGCGATTTGGTGCATCTTAAATAAATGAATAATCCAAAAAGTAGCTATAATAACTCTGAAAAAAACAAGAAAAGAAAGTAAAATATTCGCTGCAAACAAAACGTATGAATTCACAAAAAGTCGCCTGCGCGAGTTTATCGCCCATCCTGACTAAGAAGCATTTAAAGCTGCTGTTTTAGTTCTAAAAGGGAACCAGTTGTGGTGAATCTCAGCAGCATCTGCCATCACATTCACAGCAGTCTACTTCCTAAGCCCTAAACAATTCTCCTTTTACCTCAAGAAATTTTCCATCAAGCAAGATCGATTATGAAGTGATGTAGGTCATGTGAAGACTGCCCTCTAGTTGCACTTCTATGCAGTGCACTCCAATAAATCTATTTTGTTTTACAGTGTCAAATCATGCAAGTGGGATTTCTGTGAGCCAAGCCTAGTTTGCATGCATGAGTGATGTTTTATTGTCCATTCTTTGTGTCTTAACGTATGTTTCCATCTCCCTCAGTCTGCTTTCAGGCCTCACACGCACATCTCTGCCATATTCAAGGTTAGGCAAAGCCCTTGCTCTACAGCTCCATCTCCCACCATCAAGCGTATCCCTTTGAAATGCTTGCTTTTCTTTTCTGTGTTTGACTTGCTCAAAGTTGCTCCTTTACCCTGCGTACATGAGTGCTGACTGAAGTTGTGCTCTGTGTGTCTTTGCTGGAGCTATTAGGAAAATATGCTGAAGGAAATGTAAAAAATAAATAAAAAGTAAAACGTTTGTGCCCAAATAACTGAATTAACCAGAGACAGACAAGTATATCATGCACAGTAATGAAAGAGAGTAGGATCTGATATTGTATTGATTAACTAGTTGCTCTCTGTGTTCAGTGTCAGAACCTGGGGAAGCTCACCACGGTGCAGCTGGGTCACGATAATGCCGGCCTCCTGGCTAAATGGTTGGTGGACTGTGTGATGGTGCGGAACGAGATCACAGGACACACCTACAGGCGAGTAGAGGACCTGTCTTTGTTCTGTTGCTGTTACTCATTTAGTAAACGTCCCTCACGTGCTTTTCTGTGCAGCCAAATTAGATTGTTGTAGACCTCAGACAACATTACGACCAATAAGAGTGCAGCTAGCAGCCGATAACCGTCCTGTCATGAGTGTAACTGCTGGCGCGCGCGTGTCACACTCTGGGCATTTAATAGTTTGCTGTTTCTCGGCAGTTTTGATGAATTTAAAATGAAAATTAATAAAGTGGTTTTTCTTGTTAGTGAGTTAAAAAAGGCATATTCATTCAGCATTATATTATATTAGAGACATTTGTTAAATGAACTGGAACGTGTGGCTCACTGACAATATTGGAGGTCAATTTTGTTTGTATAACCCAATCAGAGAAAATATTAAATTGTTTGTTTCTCATAACGTCAAAAAGCAGACAAGAAAAGAAACAAGACACAAAGAGAGAAGATCAGAGCAGAGACGTGTGGAGAAAGAACAAACCGATATACGGATGGAAAACGCGTCGATTTCGCCCGCCTGTGTGTCTGAACCACATTTAGTACATCACCCTGTGATGCACACCAAGTGCTAGTTAGTAGGAACCATTCTGCGTGTTTGTTGATAGCAAGTCAAATATAAAATATCTCCCCTGAAAATCAGAAGAACAAATAGAAAGATGCCAACAGATGTAGAGCGTCGATGTGTAACCTCAGCACCTTGTTGTCCATCAGGTTCCCCTGCGGTCGATGGCTCGGTAAGGGTGTGGATGACGGCAGCCTGGAAAGGGTCCTAATCGGGGAATTAGTGTTGCCCAGCGGAGAGGATGATTCTGCAAGGGCCTGCCGTACACCCCCGCTACAGCGTTCACCTTCCCAGGGCAGACGCATCAGCATCACATCGCTCACCGGACGAGATACCAGTCAGTAACTGTCAGCGTTCTCACACAACAGGAAATCTCTAATACTGAGAATGAAATGTTTTCATTTCCTGACAGGTTTTGCCGCACTTTCTGATATTTGAAGTGCAGGATTTTAAATAGATTTTATCCACAGTAGGAACTGTGTGCAATTACTCAGTCATCCACCACCTCACTAAACACTTTCAGGCTCTATCGATGTTTCAATTATTTTAGAGCTTTTATGTGCAATGAATCTCATAATATCATCAAAATAAGACTGCCAGGCTTCCATTAAATGCTTTTTTAAAAACCCTTTCTGCAGTAGTTTTTTGGAAACTTTAAGGCATATTAACTTCTATAATAATAATGATCATCTCTTTATTAAGCTGCCAGGAACTCAATTATATGGGTAATTCTTAAAATGTGGTTTAAAGCTCAGACTTCCATTGCAGCTCAAAAATGCAGCGTTTCCAGGAAGGATGGTAGCTACAGACATTAGCTGTTGCTACCTCAGGCTGTCAGGGTTCAGAGGTCTGTAGCAGTCTGTACTGATGCAGATCTTTTCCCCATTCTAGAGCTGAACTCAGCACAAATCCAAGAGGGGATTGGGGAGGCAGTGAACAACATCATCAAACACTTCCACAAACCAGAGAAAGAGGTCAGTGACTTTCAGCACTCTGAAATCCTTTTCTAATGAGTGCGTGCCTTATAGCTTAACTACTGCTATGCTGTCTGTGAATTCTGAGTAGTGTGGGTTCTGTTTTCCTGTTTCCATCAGGGAGTGCATTCATTATGTGTCCATAAGTAAAGTTGTGCTTTGACCATAGAAAGTCTGAAAGAGTGATGATCTTTCAAGTTGTAGTCATTTCTCTTCAGTGACAGTCTGTCACAGCACATTGTTGAATCGAATTTCAGAGGTACTCCAACGTTCATGGGAATAGTGTAAATAGCAAAAAGTGTTAAGCCACTTAGATGACAGGGTGCCAAGCTACCTGCCCACACATGCAAGCTTCGCTACATGTGTGTACTAAGTAACACACAAAGTAACAGCGTCACTTGCCAAATGTCAAACTTCTTACATTGTATCAACATTTGCTTTTGTGCATTGACGTGTTGATGTGTGTTGCACAGAGAGGCAGTCTGACTGTTCTGCTGTGCGGCGAGAATAGCTTGGTCGCGGCTCTGGAACAGTTCTTCCATCACGGCTTCAAATCTGCCAGGCTCTTCCAGAAGACTGTGTTTGTGTGGGACTTTGTGGGTGAGTGTGAAGAGACGGCACGCTCTGCTGCTGATGAGGAAAACTGTTCAGTTTGGCCCATGGCAGAAAATCAAGGGCTAAACTGTGTTACAATGTGTACTGGTTTTACTGGATTAAAGAAAAAATGTGGAATACCTTTTTATTCATGTGTCACGGTTTTTATACATGTTTGTAGAGGATTATACAACATTTACAATTCTTTTTGTGTAATCTGGGCTTTCAAATGAATTTGTAACATAGCCTTCAGCCTAGTGTTCTCAGTTTGTTGAGCTGTTACACAACAGTAGAGAGCTTTAAGTAAGCTGATATGGTGTGTGATGCTCCTCTAAAACCCTACAGAGAAGGCTGTTGCCTACATGGAGTCAGCTGACCAGGTGGGAGACCTTCAGGAGACCACTGAGGCCATGAAGATGACCTGTCAGTCACTCTGTCATTACTTCAATGCGATCAACTCCACCTCCAGAAACATCGGCAAGGACGGAAAGTTCCAGTTGTTAGTCTGCCTCGGAGCCAGGTCAGTGTGGAGACAACGAGTTAATGTAAATTATGTTGTGAGCTGTGATGGAAGCTGTTCCTGCGCAGGTGTGGGCTCTGATAGCATCTTTTGATATGTGATTATTCGATCAGAAATTTGACATATTAACAACATGTCACGATTGTGGTCAGAAGTTTTCATTTGTCATTGTCATTTGACAGGACAAAATAAATGCTCACTGTCGAGGCGAGTGCTGTGTGGCTGGCAGCAAATGCAGGACTCTCAGACGTCAAGAGTGAAACTCTAATAGCAGCTTTCATTCAAACAAAATAACTCAAACCTCAAACCTAGAAATTAAACTGGACTCAAGAACTAAATACTAAGAAACATGAACTAAGCTTTAGTCATCAACACAGACAGGAAACCACCAGCATGGTGAGGGTACGCCACGACACAAAGCAAAGAAAACACAGGGCTTAAATCCACACCAGAGTGATCAGAGTGGGAAACGGGAGGGAAACACAGCTGGGATTAACTAGCCAGAACGAGACAAAGGAAGCAAAACTAGATACGTTGACATGAGACGAGGGACCGCCAAAATAAAACGGGTATAACAAAGATGTGGACTTGACACTGAGACAGAGAGACGTGGAAGACAGAGGGAACACGAGGACGAGTGTGACAAGACGAGGAACACGAGACAGCCTAATGACAGAAACCAAAACCATAGGACTAAAAATATAACACAGCAGAACCAAAACCCACGAATTACAATAGTTAAAGAATATAACTAAAGCACACAAACACTGAGTCACAGGCCACAGGTGACACTTGGCTTGTTTTCTTTTTTCCTTTGTTTCTCTTCACTGTGGAAGAAGTTAATGATAATAAAATGCAAAGTGGTGTATAAATACATGGTGAGTGAAGAAGGAAGGCACAATGTATCATGGGAAGCCCCTAGGAGCCTAGGCCTAGTGCAGCATAATTAAAGAAGGGTCACCTGATACTGCCCCAACTACAACCTTCATGAGAAAGGAAAGTTTTAAGCTTAATCTAAGTAGAAAACCTGCTTTTCTCCTGAATCCAAACTGAAAGCTGAGGGTTCTGCCTCCCATTCTACTTTTAATACCCTAGGAACTAAAAGTAATCCCACAGTCTAAGCGCAAAGTGCTCCTTTGAGATGATATAGTACTTTGAGCCAGGGAGCCGATCCTCTTCATTGGGCATAGATCCTAGAAGGAACCTTCAGTGGATGCTGCACATTCCCAGTCACCAGAGCCTTCAGTGGGTCCTGCACAGGCTGAACATGAGCAGCCAGAAGCTGAGCCAGAGGGTCCCATGTTGTCTGAGCCAGATGGCTGCTACTTTCAAAACTAGCAGATTGTTGTGCTTCACCATCAGTTGCTTTAAATTCAGCTGCCAGCTCGGCTTTCCCTCAGCCGTTAGTCTCCCGGCCTTTCTCCTTGTCTTCGGCCTCCTCCCAAGCATTGCTGGCCTCCCGTTGGGCCACCAGATGGCCTCTGCCGTAGCTGCTGCTTCCCTGTCTTGCCTCACCATCGCTGGCCAAGTCATCTCTGGTAGTCCACCGTCTTCATTGCTGGGCTCCTGTTCTGTCTTCTTATGGACAGCCTGCTCTCAAGACTCCTGAGGGTTTCATTTGTTCTCCAGAGGGGCTTCAACTTGTCTTCTTCTGGCCTCTTTCCCAAGTCTCTGTCTTCATTGCCGGCCCTGTGTTGAGCCTCCGGATATTCCACCTGTCGTGCTTCATCTCAATACCAGACCCAGTAATCCACATTGCTTATCTTTTTAGTCCTGTTGAAAATCTGCAGTCTCACCACTGATTAACATTTAAGTCGATTTAACTCTTACTACGTTTAACTGACACAGACTGCTTACTTACATATTGTTCATAGCATAAGCACACACATTTACTATACACTACACATATTAAATTGTCTGTCTCATTATTACAGTTAATAAAACTAAAGCTAACACTACTGTCGGTATGCAGAAAAACATTGTTCACTGAAATTAAAATTAAACTGGACTCTTGAATAAGACTAAACCAAATCATATTGTGCGTTCGACTAAAACCAAACTAAACAATAATTAGGAGATGTCCTTGGGTTGAGTCTCTGTCAGTGTGGTCAGGATTGTCACCTCAGCAATGGGAGGCTTTGTGTAGCAACTCAAACTGAAGCTAATTCAGTTCAGTTGTGTTTATATAGCAACAGTCTCCTCGAGGCGCTTTATCTTGTGACATAATGCTACAATAATGAATAAAAATAATCAAACCAAACTGAAACTAACATTTTTTAAAAACTAAATTGAATTAAAAATTGAAATTTAAAATGTGATAAACTGTGAAGTTTTAATAATTCTGATCTGATCACTGTTGGCCCCACAGAGACCGCCTGCTGCCCCAGTGGCTCCCCCTGCTCGTGGAATGTCCAGTGATCCTGCAGATGTATGAGGACACAGCAATGCTCAGAGACCCTTCCACTCTCAATACCCTTATTAGCGTCCTTGAGGCTCTGCACGACTTCTCCATCACACTGGAAGCCTCGCTGGTCAAAGGCATCAACCTTTAGCTCCACAGGACTCTGGTTAATTTTCTGTCCTCCTCTTCAGTTCACTCTGTCCGTCTAACTGTTAGCTCCTTGGCCTTGTGATTAGATGGATGATAAGGTTTGGAGGACATTAAATTGAAAGGACAATTTGGAAACCAAAGCAATAAGTTCCACATGTTCTCATGTTGCTTGATTCTTCATGGGAGACGTTAAAATTTGTGGGTGACCCATGAGCTTGGATGCAGTATTTCCACTCTTCCTGTGAATTTCAAAGACTATTTAAACAAAAGGTCAGACCAAGGATCTGTAGTTTTTTACTTGATGAACTAATGCTGTTCATCACAGTGCACAGGTTTCTGCAGACATATCAGCTTTTAGAAGCACTTCCTGCCTTCCATGTATTTGTTATTTCAGTACACTTGGAAAATGACTGTTTGGCCTCCTGCTCACATGAAACTCAAGCTGCAAGTCAAAAATCTGTTCCAAAAAGACTTTTGCAAAGCAGTTATTCACTGTCACGTTTGAGGGAACTACTTTTTTATATTCCCAAAAACTGTTCATCTGGACGTAGCGGTGGCCAAGCGTACGACTGAAGAAGTCACTTGGATGAGTGACGAAGCGTCCAGATGAACAGAATCCACTTTTTGGGATTTCCTTACCTTGATGATTGAGCATGGAAATACTTTCTATATTGTTTTTGCTTTAAGGTCTTTTCTAGGCTGCAGGATTGTCGTTGCTGATATGAATCACAGCATCTTTCTGCCTTATTGATTCTCTTAGTGTACTGAAATATGGCTGCTTGGAAGAAAAACAAAAAATTGAGTGCATGCTGAAATGACAGCATAGAGACATAGCTGTAGCAGCAGACATGTAACAGCTGTGTGTAGCATAGCCCCCTTCAGTTGGTACGAGTAGATGCATTATCTTACCTGTAACTGTTGGTTATAGTAGCATCAACCTAACTGTTGTTAGCGTGAGCAACAATGCTTTTGTGCACGGAAAGAGTACGATGCCATGAAGAGACTGAGGGATCACTGACACAATGACAGACCCAGTGTTAAGAGTTTAACCTGTGGCTAACATTCCTACCTACATTATACATCTATGTCTCGCTTCACAGATGTGCGCATGTAAGATCAGGTTTTAAGGCTGTGTGCCTTACAAACACAATTACACCATCTGCCTACACACAAATTCATGTAGGATTTCTTGCCAGTTTCAACAACTAAATAACAGCTAAACTGTAACATACAGGCTCATCTAAGAATGCAAAATGAATTTCAGCTGATTTATGCCTTTTCCTTGAAACCAGTGTGTGTGGGCCAAAAGTGTGAACTCCTACACTATGGAGATACCTGACACATTAACAATATACGACAGAAATGAATTCAAGTATAACATTAATGAATTAAAGTCCTGGCAGTTATTAAACTTTTCCACAAAACGGTTCTTTCAAAAACAATAATCAGTATACACAGTTCAGCTTTTTACTGCATTCATATCAAACATCAGGAATAAGCTGAAACTGTAGAACGTTTACTTCACAAAATGACGTTTCTATAAACAAGACTGAATGTAATAGCACCCATTTGTCACCAATTAGCATAGGAAGCGAGAAGTAGCAGGTTTATGGTCTTAACAACTTTCATGCTTGTGTGTGTGCCATGATTCCCGTAAAGTCCCACTTCAAGCCAGTCACAGGTTACGTTTTTAGTCCCTGTGTAACAGCCGCAGTAGCACTGGCTGTTTATACACTGTTTAAAATCTAGATTTTATTTTTTGTAATAAAGCAAACTAGCCTATGCTAAGCTAAATGTTCTTTAATTGTTTAAAGGGGTTTTTATGTAAACTGCAGACTTGGCATAAATGGATGAATTTCACAATTAGAATCGTTAACCTTGTTTTCTGTGGTCCATAAATGTGTGATGAAGGGACGCGCCATATTTGTGTTTCACCTCTAAATGCGCTCAAAATGTAAATATGTTTGGCAGCAGAGAGTAAAATGTTTGGAAATGTGTATCTTGGACAGATGTCCTATCTTTGAACTTTTGCAGCATTAGCAGTTTTGTGTTGCCTGTTGCTAAATGGATACTTTCTGGTGTACATATTGTCAACGCACGCTGTCATTTAAGCCTCAGCTGTATTCATGTGGCACTCTAATGGATTACAAATAGCAGGGGAGTTTATCTGCTTTGTTACGACAAAATGTGGACACGGTTGCATTTCTGCTGTTTCCAGAACGGAGTATGTGATGGGCAACACATCCTGCCTTCCTGTGTTTTTAATTTATATTGACTTTGACTGGCTGACAGCAGCACTGGTGTTTTATGGTGGACAAACCTGTGGAGTAAGTCGATGCGTCCTAAGCACCTTTAAAGTAGCCACTATTTCTCCTTCATGTGCCCCTGCTGATTAACCTGTGGGACTATTGACAGCTCCAAAGCACAGACATGGATTCCTCCACCGCTTCCTGGACGTCTTTATGTACGGACTATTTTTCTGGCAGCACCAGAAACGACGTGTGGAAGACCATCCACCCTAGTAGTCACACTTCATGCCAGCGTTGGGACTGACTGCTCTCTACTGATATTTATTGTTCCTCAATAAAACACCGAAGTCTAAGATGTGTGTGTGTGACATGTATAATTTTGAAATATAATAATATTATAAAATAAAATATATTTCATGCCAGGAAGTCACCACTTTTAGACTCAGTTGCTTGCTAATCTTGAGCAAAGTTTTAGTAGAGGTTACACTGGCTGTTGCTTATTTTGTTTTGCATGTGTATTGCTTATTGGATAAATAAAGTATTTATCTCATGTCAGTCAAAAATGTTGCTACAAATACTCTTTGTAACAGCTGAAATTCTAATCTTGTTATCCTGTTGTAACTAATGAATTTCTCCTTTGGAGGAGTAGTGTTTTTTTTCAGTTTCACAGACAGTTATATAACACATGCAGTGCTTTACCTGCTTGCAAGAGAGAGACTCATTAGAGATCATGTTTAAAAATTCTAATTTTATTTGTCACACACACAGTCATGCACAGTACGATATGCAGTGAAATGCTTACACAACTGCTCGTGACCTAAAGAAAAAAAAAGAAAAGGCTATGAATAAGATAGGAAATAAATATGAAAATTAAAAAGGATGGAATAAAATAAAATATAAAAATGAAATAACTGTACAACACAAATTAGAATGAAGGGTAAATTTAACTGGGAAAGAAGATAAAATATATAAGTTAAAGTTGAAAATAAAATAACTGTACAACAAAATACACAATACACAGTATAGAAATATATAAGAATGTATGAAGAAATACAAATATAAATATACAATAACAGCAGCTGTACAAGTATTAAATGGAAATGAAGAAATAGAAGATTTTTAGGCCAAAGTGCAATAAACTCAGAGTTCTCAGAATTTAAAAGTAGCAAGTTATGGATGCCTGTAGTTAAACTAGTTGATTTGTGTCATCTGGATGTGTGTATCACCTCCATAGAAAAAAACATATTCAATTCAATTTTATTTATATAGCGCCAAATCACAACAAAAGTCGCCTCAAGGCGCTTCATAGATACAGAGAAAAACCCAACAATCATATGACCCCCTATGAGCAGCACTTTGGCGACAGTGGGAAGGAAAAACTCCCTTTTAACAGGAAGAAACCTCCAGCAGAACCAGGCTCAGGGAGGGGCGGGGCCATCTGCTGTGATTGGTTGGGGTGAGAGAAGGAAGACAGGATAAAGACATGCTGTGGAAGAGAGACAGAGGTTAATAACAGATATGATTCAATGCAGAGAGGTCTGTTAACACATAGTGAGTGAGAAAGGTGACTGGAAAGGAAAAACTCAATGCATCATGGGAATCCCCCGGCAGCCTACATCTATTGCAGCATAACTAAGGGAGGATTCAGGGTCACCTGGTCCAGCCCTAACTATATGCTTTAGCAAAAAGGAAAGTTTGAAGCCTGAATCTTGAAAGTAGAGATAGTGTCTGTCTCCTGAATCCAAACTGGAAGCTGGTTCCACAGAAGAGGGGCCTGAAAACTGAAGGCTCTGCCTCCCATTCTACTTTTAAATACTCTAGGAACAACAAGTAGGCCTGCAGAGCGAGAGCGAAGTGCTCTAATAGGGTGATATGGTACTACAAGGTCATTAAGATAAGATGGGGCCTGATTATTTAAGACCTTGTATGTGAGGAGCAGGATTTTGAATTCTGGATTTAACAGGAAGCCAAAACAGGAGAAATCTGCTCTCTCTTTCTAGTCCCTGTCAGGACTCTTGCTGCAGCATTTTGGATCTAGCTGAAGGCTTTTCAGCGAGTTTTTTGGACATCCTGATAATAATGAATTACAGTCGTCCAGCCTGGAAGTAATAAATGCATGAACTAGTTTTTCAGCGTCACTCTGAGACAGGATATTTCTAACTTTTAGAGATGTTGCACAAATGGAAGAAAGCAGTCTTACATATTTGTTTAATATGTGCGTTGAAGGACATGTCCTGGTCAAAAATGACTCCAAGGTTCCTCACAGTGTTACTGGAGGCCAAGGTAATGCCATCCAGAGTAAGAATCTGGTTAGATACCATATTTCTAAGCTTTTCAGGGCCGAGTACAATAACCTCAGTTTGATCTGAATTAAGAAGCAGAAAGTTAGCTGCACTGAGGTCTAGCAGGACAAGCACAGAGATGAGTCCACTGTCAGAGGCCATAAGAAGATCATTTGTAACCTTCACTAAAGCTGTTTCTGTGCTGTGCTAGCTCTGAAACCTGACTGAAACTCTTCAAATAAACCTCTGCAGATGATCTGTTAGCTGTTTGACAACTACTCTTTCAAGGATGTTTGATATAAAGGAAGGTTGGAGATTGGCCTATAATTAGCTAAGACTGCTGGGTCTAGAGATGCTTTTTGAGTAAAGGTTTAACTACAGCCAGCTTGAAGGCCTGTGGTACATAGCCGATCATTAGAGATAGGTTGATCATATTTAAGATCGAAGAATTAATTAATGGCAGGACTTCTTTGAGCAGTTTTGTAGGAATGGGGTCTAAAAGACACGTTGATGGTTTGGAGGAAGTAATTATTGAAGTTAACTCAGAAAGATCAATTGGAGAAAAAGAGTCTAACTTAACATCAATGGTACTAAGAGTAGCTGTAGATAATATTACATCTGTGGGATGATTACTGGTAATTTTTTCTCTAATGATAAAAATTTTATTTGTGAAGAAGTTCATGAAGTCATTACTAGTTAACGTTAAAGGGATGGTTGGCTCAACAGAGCTCTGACTGTTTTGTCAGCCTGGCTACAGGCTGAAGAGAAACCTGGGGTTGTTCTTATTTTCTTCAATCAGTGATGAATAGTAAGATGTTCTGGCTTTGCGGAGGGCTTTCTTATAAAGCAGCAAACTATTTCTCCAGGCTAAATGATGATCCTCTAAATTTGTGACACGCCATTTCCTCTCCAGATTACGAGTCATCTGCTTTAGGGCTACGTGTTTGAGAATTATACCACGGAGTCAGGTACTTCTGATTAGAGACCTTAGTTTTCACAGGAGCTACAGTATCCAGAGTCGTACGTAGTGAGGAGGTGAAATTATTAACAAGATAATCGACCTCTGTTGGGGTAGCGTTCAGATAGCTGCTCTGCTCTGTGTTGGTACAGGGCATTGGAGATGATAACAGTGGGTGGATTATATTCTTAAACTTAGTTACAGCACTTTCAGAAAGACATCTACTGTGATAAAGTCTACTCTCCACCGCTGTGTAATCAATTATTGTAAATGTAAATGTTATCAGGAAATGATCAGACAGGAGAGGGTTTTCAGGAAACACTGTTAAATGTTCAGTTTCTATGCCATATGTTAAAACAAGATCTAGAGTGTGATTAAAGTGGTGGGTGGGTTCTTTTACATTTTGAGAGAAGCCAATTGAGTCTAATAACAGATTAAATGCCATGTTGAGGCTGTCATTTTTAGCATCTACATGGATGTTAAAATCAGCCACAATAATTATTTTATCTGAGCTCAGAACTAAATTAGATATAAAGTCTGAGAAATCAGACAGAAACTCTGTGTAAGGCCCAGGTGGACGATAGATGATAACAAGTAAGACTGGTTTCTGAGTTTACAGCTGGGGTGGACGAGGCTAAGCATCAGGCTTTCAAATGAATTAAAAGTCTGTCTTGGTCTTTCATTAATTAATAGGCTGGTGTGAAAAATTGCTGCCACACCGCCCCCTCGGCCTGTGCTTCGAGATTTCTGGTAGTTAGAATGACTCGGGGGTGTTGATTCATTTAAACTAACATAATCATCCTGCTGCAACCAGGTTTCTGTAAGGCAGAGTAAATCGATTTGTTGATCAATTATTAAGTCATGTACTAACAGAGACTTGGAGGAGAGAGACCTAATATTTAATAATCCACATTTCACTGTTTTACTCTTTGGTTCAGATGTGGATACTGTATTGTGTCTCTAGCTTCACATGTCTGAGAACAGAATTACCAGAGTTTGACCCCCGGCGGGTGTGTCGCCGAGTGGGGAAAAACGGTTAGACACATGAACGGGTTGGTGGTGTACCTGGGGCTTCTGTTTAGGACTATGCTTCCTCCTCACCGTCACCCAGCCGCCCTCTTTCCCCAGCTGCTTGGGGTCTGCCGGGGAACAGCCAGCGGGGCCTACGCTATCTTCGGCTGCACCAGCTACAGGGGCCTGGCTAGCTACGGGTGAATGAAGGGTGCGAAGCCGAGTCTCCAATTCAGTAATCCTGGCCTCCAGAGCTGCAAATATGCTACATATTCTTTTCATTGTTTTGTGTAAGGGAAACTCTGATCATGTGAAAAGCATTGGTCCCAGCATAAAACTAAGTTAAATTCCATAACCAACTTTTTGTGTCATGGAGTTCCTGTCTGTCTACATCTCAGGATTTCTTTCTGCAGAGGGGGTACTTTTTGGCAAACTGTCCCCATTACCAAACCAATTATACTGGATGATGTTGCTGGCTGCACAATGTTGACTCCTCAGACTCATTCAAGTAAAATGCTAATTTAGCCGACTTGTTTGGGAAGTGTACTTCACATGGAGCTCTATATCACCACCTGTTTGAGAGGAAATCTTTGATAAGCAATGAAAATCAGTTCTGTGGATTCTGGAGCCGGACGCACAGGCTTATAAGCATCAAGGTTACAACCACTCACCAGTGGCTTTATGTTTAATGAGGCACTTAATACTCATGTGCAGAATGGTTCTTATAGAGCATTTTTGTATGTACTTGAGTAGGGCTTTTTGAAGTTTTGTGAAGACATTTCACCTCATCCAGGAGGCTTCTTCAGCTGTGAACTGATGCTTGATTTGCCAGAGATACGAATAACTGGCTCTTAAACAAACCTGCTTAAGTAATGTAACCAAAGAGTTTTTTGTTTTTTTTTTAAACTTAAATAATAAAAACACAAAAACCACTACACTTCACTGCTCATCTTTTATTTCAGCAAGAGACCTCTTTTATACCTTCACAGTAGACAGTGCTACAATTTTGCCTTTAGTGTTTGACACCACACCCACCACCAAGAACAATCCTTTCCTCAGTAAGAATGAATGGATAGGAGCACAGCATCAAGCAAAGTGCTGC